CTATCATGAACTGAACACTTATCATTTAACATAAAATGAACTTTTAACCACAAACTGGTCGGGACAATTTAGCCATAATGAAAGATAGGGCTATCAAGCCTTCTACGGCCCCGCGGACATGCGTTATGTGCGCAGCCCGCTCACTTGAGCCTTCACATGAATATAAGGCCAACTTTCCTCGACCGATCTCATTTATCTGAACCTTAAACATTAAATAAGAGCTAAAGGAAATGAAATTGCTCATGACTTATGTTCAGCTTATAAGCTCATGCCTCATGGCCGCCCGTAGCTACGTGCGATCGGCACTAGCTACGGCTTTGGCCAATTCACCGGCAATCCTCGACTTTTCATCGACCAACTTCATTTAATTGCACAGAATACTTTAAATAGAAGCTGAAAAGAACATCTTAGTTCATGACTTGCCGGAAAAAATATAAACTTAACTCGGTATAAACCGTACACGCCGATAACCGAGTTTAACATGAATTTCTCTTAAAATTTCTAAAGATCCCTTGAACAATTCACTCTGTTTTGGACTTACTAACATGAATAAGAATTGAAGAGGGCTTTACCTCTTAATTCGCTCGACGGAAAACATAAATAAGTCGTGCCTTCTTGTCCTTGAACTCGTCGTGCGGTAGCTACTTGTATTGCCGTGCGATTGCGTTGAAGTTTTGGGGGAATTATATAACTAATGAAGGCTGCTGGAAGCTGATTTATATGGCTGAATATATGCGTGAGAAGGATGGCAAAAATTTCCCAAATTGCCTCCTTTTATAGAGAGCCGAATGCTTATGGTGATGATGTAGGTGCTACGTGGTTTGCTTAGGAGTTTAACACTTGTTTACTCCTCCAACCTCTCTTAATGACTAAGCTTATTCATTGCTTGACAAGTTACAATGTTTCATTGGTTGAAAACTATTCTTCAAGCTTAAGAATGCTCACGGCTTTTGCCTTTAAAATTTAGAAAATTGCTAAGTTATGGCCATTACTACATCAAGTCACGGCAATTAGGGTTTACTTGGTGATTAATCCCAATTAATCACTCAATTGATATCTAATTGTTAAATTAAACATAATACTTAATTACCAAAATTATTTCGGACGTAAACGGTACGCCGAAAATAGATTTCGGTAATCCGGCTGAACTTAATTAATTCTGAAAATAATAAACGATAACGTTACTATATCGGAATTAAACATAATTGATACTGATAATATCTCGGGATATTACACAGTGCCACCTCTGACATACGCGCGACATGTCAGAGTACGGACGTGCAGCTTGGGCAGCCAGCTCACTATGCCCGGGCAGCCCTAAAGTCAGGTATCTCACCCCTATATAAAGAGGGGTGAGCCTTTCTTCTTTAACACGATTTTCCATTATTCAACTCAAGCATACTCATACACATACTTACTTAAGCATCGGAGACTCTTCACTGGAAAAATCCCCCGGTGTGAGTTATTTGCAGGTTTCCAGCGTTCTACCGGCGAGAACAAAGGCGATCTATTCCAAACGAAGTCATGACGCTCACACTTGCATTAACCAGATATAGGAACTAATTCATTAGATAATACATAATGTTTTTAGGAACTAATATCAGATATAGAAACTAATTCATAAATATAATACATAATTCTTATATGATTCTCAGAGTCAATAGATTGACTTTATTTTAAAATTGAAAATATAAACAACATATATCTGACATGTTTTTATACAAAAGTAGTGCCCATCATGTGCGATGCACGGGCTGACTTGTTACTTGAAATCTTTTTTTAAAACTTTATTTTAAAGTAATGTTTTAAATTTAACATCCCATTATTACAAGAAAATAAATATAAATTATGAAATATTTTATATTATTTATTCAAATAGAATGAGTCTCACCACCAAACAATAACATCTAACACCTGATATAAGATAAACTTAATTATATGCATCGTCATGCTTTTTAATATATATATATATATATATATATATATATATATATATATAT